TAGCTGAGAATCTTGGACCGGTTGTCAGGATCCAGGTTTGCGGTGTGACCTAATAAAAGTGATCTTAACAGGAAAAAAAACCCAAATTATGTATATATATATATATTTTTTTTCAATCAGCAGAAGACACGGCAAGAAACCCAGACTAGATTAAGGTTAATTAAGATTAAGGTTAATTATTGAAGGTGTTAACAGGAAGCTTGGACTGTGCATATTAATGATAATCGAGTCAGCGAAGATGAATGTTCTGTCATCATTTCTGAGTTGGTTGAATGTGCTTAATTGCCGCTTCATGTGAAGCTAGTTCAGCATTTTATCATTTTTATTCATAATTGTTGATTTAATTGGAGGGATTGAAACTGGAACAAATCTGGATTTTAAAGCTATGTTTTCTGAGAGCTAATATACTCAGCTCACAAGAAAAGTATTTATACTCTAAATTTACACATTTTTCTTTTAAAATCAGATTTGACTTTTGCACATGAAATTTTTTTTAGTTTTTGTTTTTTTGCCCAGTTGACCGTTAAAATGAAAGTTAAAAACTGATGCCTCAGTGCTAGAGTGGTTCATGTGGGTTTTTTTGGGTTTTTTTTTTTAGTACACAGAGCTTAGATATTAAAATGTATCTGTATTAAGTTACATTGTGACAGCATGACTCCAAGCACCATATTGTCTACATGACAAAGTATTACAAATATATAGCGCATCCATCAATCCTTCCTCTTCTGTTTATCCTTATCAGGGTCCCTGCTGGGAGGGCTGGATCCTAGCTCAGCTACCATATGGCGAGAGGCAGGGTTCACCCTGGACAGGTTGCCAATCTGATGTAGGGCTAACACACCGACAGGCAACCATTCACTGCTTAATCATCAATTGAGCTAACCCCACTAACAGCATGTCTTTGGACTGTGGGAGGAAACTGGGCAGAACCTGCACCAACATGGGGAGAACATGTGAACTCCACACAGAAAACCTGTGGCCAGAGGGTGGAGCCAAACTCAGGACCTTCTTGTGAGGCAACAGTGCTAACCACCATTCCACCATGTGGCCCAAAAGATGACAACAGAGAATAAAAACTATTTGTACTGAAAGTGCTGAATACTGACAAAAAAATGTGCAGGTTTAAACAATATTTCCAATAAACGTTGGAAGACTGTTATGTAACAGGTGTCAAATGACTCAAAAAAGGAAATCTGGCCCTGAACACAGTCTGCTGGCGGTATCACAAAGAAGTTACTTTTTAACTGTGATCATGCAGAGAAAAGAAACAATGTCATCCTGG